TTCATGCAGTGGGGAGGGAGCAGAGGGGAGGCAAGCTGCCCCAGCCCCACCGAGCAAACCCCCTGGGCTTGGCTGCTTTTGAGTGCAGCGAAGGCTGGCGGCAGCACCAGGCAGATTATGATGCCAGAAAGCATGCTGATGTCTCACATATATTGAATACATCAAACATTACTGTCTCACCATGCCTCACACGAACCATTTATTTCTTTAGAAACTCCAGACTGGTCTAGTTTTATATTTTGCAAGTCACCTGTAAAATATCTATCTATAAAAGTATTACAGGAGCTAGGATTCCTGCAGGGACAGGGCAGCCTGCCCTCATTGTGCTCTGCAACCTTACCATCTGCGCTGGGATTTCCATTTGTACCTGGCACTGCTGCTTTCCAGTTTGCAGGGTGTATTTTAGTTGGGGGTGTGGTGATGCACGTACATCACTCAATCCCTCGGTTTCCAATGCTACTGAAACCCCAAATAACACCACAAGCCAAGGCTGCCGCTTTGCAGCCCTGCTGATTTCCCGGGGCTCCGAGCACTGCTTGGGGGCTGCACACAGGTATTGCGGTGCTGCAGAAGTGGGAATTAGTTCCACTTTCTGCTACATATATTTTTATTTGATTAGTCTAATATACTGCATTATTATTTATCACATGCAAATCTCTTCAAACTTATTAAAGCTGACATTTCAGCTAAGAGATGAGATCTGGAAAGAAGTAATAAGGAAAAATTATTTCACAAGCTTTTGCACTTTAGGTTTACAGGGAGGATCGATTACACTTAAAATTTAAGGCCCAGACTTGACCCTAAATCTCCTTTAAGGAAAAGGAAAGAATTAATTCCTTAATTTGTTATATTTCAGCTTTACAGGCTGGCTCAGCAAAACCCAAGGGAGTTTGCACAAGATGCCATTGGTTTTGAATGGTGGTTTTGGATACAACTGGAAGGCAGCAGTGAATGCTAGTTTGAAAAATATCATGTTAACACATTTATTGTCTTTAAGACCTTAAGAATTATGCCTATCTATATAGAATTACTGTGGAAGTAGTTGTTTCTTGGTCACCGAAGGAAACTTATTAGCTATCTTTCAGATATGCTTTTCAGCACGCAGATTTTTATTTACTGATTTCTACTGGTGACCAAATAGTGCTAGGTGCTATACATTTATAAAGCACAATCCCCATTTCAAATAAAAGGTGACAAAAGCGGTCAGTTAGCCTCTGGAAAGTATGTTTTGCAGAGAAAGAGGAAAAAAAGAAAAAGAGAAAGAGAGAGGCAGAGTTTTGCAGTGATGAGTTCACTCCTACAGCAGCTATATGGACATTGTTATTTTTTGTAAAACAAGTGTAGAAAGGTTAAAGACCAAATAAGGGTCCGATTTCCAGAGGTCTAGGTATTTTATAGGGTTGAATACCTTACAGCGTCCTTCACAGGAACCTGTAAATGAGAACCTCTCCATAAAACCTTGCTTACGCTTGCAAAAATGAGATGTTTAGCTCTCCACAAGTAATGGCCTTGAAAGCTTTCTCTGGACAGGGGTCAGACCCATTTTACTGTAAGTGCAGATCCATTCAAAGCACAGAAGGATTGAGCTAAAGGACATCTCAATGTGACAGGGTTGTTACACCAGCTCCAGGCTAAATGACTTGACCGAGGCCAAAGTATGAATCGGTGCCAGAAAGCAGGGCTGGAAGTCACAGTTCCTAGTCTTGCATTCAGAAAAAATATCACATTCACAAAAAGAGTAAAAAATGTGGAAGGAGCACCTGCCTAGGTTTGACTTCTTCACTCATCTCAGATTGAAATGAGATTGACTCTGTGGGCTAACACTGAAGTCATTCAACCAGACAAGGTCTATCCATGACGGGCATTTAAAGTCTTTACTGGAAAAAAATCCCCCCCCCAAAAATGGGAATAAGAAGATGTTTCCATTATAAAATGATTGCGACGACTCAGCTGTTACTTTTTTGCCCTCAGCCTAGAAAGCATTTCTTGCATTCTTGTCTCGGCACACTACCTTAGCGGCCCTTCATGTGCAGCACCATAGTAATTTATCATTACCCAGTCTCCAAATTATTCTAGTGTTGATTAAATTAGTAAATGCAATCACAATCTGAAGCAAGTTAATTGAGAGAATTTATTTGGCCCTGACAGTTTTATGCATGTTTGATTAAGTATTATAAGGTTTGTTTTTGATTTTGCATAATTTAACTTTAAATCCTGCACTGGGGGGGCCCATCAACTATTAATGACCGAAATAAACTCTTTTAAGATGCATATATTTATGATTTATTTCTAAACACAGTATCTTCCAGATTTTTTTTTGTTCTGTTGCCAAAGTGACAAATCTGTTTAAAGTAATATTTTGAGCCATTCGGTTCATGCTATAAATCTTGTGAAATGTATACAATTCATTAAAAGTTTTGAAAGAAGTACAAGTTAGCATTTATATTGCAACAAGTGACATATAAATGTGTATGTTTTTCTTCAATGCGTGCCATAAAATATATCAGCACTAGCTGGCCGCTGTGACTAGTACTAATGGCCCGCTCTCTGGGCTGATGATAAGTTTCATCACAAATCTTCAACGCTGTCACCACAAAACTGTTCAATCAACAGGAATATGAGTTGTGTCTTTAGTAAAATTAGCACAGGAAAGAAATACAACCCAGAGCGCTGCCGGAGTGTTGTGGGCGGGTTCCCTTCGGGCTGAACTACGAGCACTCCTTCAGGATCTTATCTCTTTGAATGTCAAAGCTTCAATTCATGCCTGACCTGAGGACAGTTTATTTTTTATGAAGATACACATCCATTTGAGCAGCAAAGGGGTCAAAATATTTCAGGCAGAAAACTGAATAGGGCCATCTTGCTTTTTTGTCATCCTGACCTAAGAAATTAAAAGGGTCGGTCTCAGCACCGATCCTGCTGCGTCGCACCCTTGCACACACGTGTTTAGGTTGTGGGGTCGCTCAGTGGAGCTGCCTGGGTTTTTCTGGAGGCTAGGAAAGACCTCCAGACCTCCTTTCTCACCCTGAGGAGTTCCTGCAGGATGCCAGGACCCTCCCTTTGCAGCACTTGCATTCAGCAGCATCCCCGTAATTCTCCAAGGCAAAGCTGGAAAGCCAAACTACCTTCATAATTTTGTTGCTGGGGCTGAAATTCCCATCTCTGGGCTGTGGCTCCAGTCCCAGGCAATGGCAGAGGGAAATAAAAGGAACATGGCTCTCCTGCTTACCTTAGTCACCGAACAGATGTTCCCAGTTTCATGCTATTGGGAAAATGCATCGGCTTCGCACCTCCCCTTCTCCCTCCCACCAGAAGGTACGTGGGAGACACAGAAATGGCAATTTGCTAGGAGTACACCGCCACTTATTACCTTGCCTATAATTTCCCCTCGATGTACATCCTGCACCTCGGGCCCTTCATTGTATTTGCAGAATAAAACTGCTCTGCAGGGCAGGCACTACCGCAGGCGAACGGGGAGGAACCAAAACCGAGTGTGAACATCAGTGAGACAGCTGGGACGCTGGGAGGTATTTGGCCTGCTGCCTCAACTGCCTGTGCGGCGTGGCAGGTCTTAGTGTTGGCAGATGGCTTGAGTTATTATTATTTAATGTTTTTCCACCGTGGTAGTGCCTAGACGGTGAGCAGGGCAGGGAGCCAGTGAAAAAGTTCTGTATTCTATCCATTACGGAAAGTAATTCCGAATTAAATCTAAGGAAAAACAGCAGGGAGGAAGTTTCTTTTCCTTATTTTTATATATCACTTTTGAATTTTCCTCCACCTGTTTGTTTTTCAGGAGCTTTTTGGATCTTTCTGGCCTCCTCAGAAGACCGGGTCTCCTCCATTTGCCGTTTTACCGCCTTGCTTTTCTGGCAGTGCCTGAGCTCCTTCAGCGGGGCGAGGGCCTGGGCGAAGGCTCCCGGGAGCAGGGCCAGGAGTTCCGCGGGCTCTCCCGAGACACGGACTCCCAAAGCCTAACTGCCGGCGCTGCCCCAGCCGCTCAGCAAGCCTGGATCTGACCCTTGAGCCCACAGGCGGGACCCACCAGGCCACCAAACCGCGCTCAGAGTCAGAAAAGGTCCAAGCGACGAGGGACTCGGAGAAATCTTTGCCACGCTCTCGTTCCAGGCAACGGTGATACGTTCTGCAGCCGATTCTGTGACCGGAGCTGTCCCGGCACCCTCAGGACTGGCTCCAGCCCTAAGGCCACGGGGGGGCCGGGCAGCTGAAACCCCTCCGTGTGGTGCCGAAGCCAGCCGGGCCACACCATCCCCTCAGCGGCGTTGGCTGCCGGTCCGGTTTACGTCGGAAACGACCTTCCAGGCTCCATCTGCCACCCCCCCCGCCTTGCCTGACCCCACACGCCGGCGGCGGGACCCCCCCGATCTCCGCCGCAGGCCCGGCGGCCCCGGCCTCAGGCCGCTCTCCTC